GAATGCGCCGTGATGATGATAATAAATTAAACAAACATGTGCCCAAGCGTACGGATGTCAGCCGTTCTTTATCTGCCAGCGGGCTCGTGAACCAAAGGTCGTCGAACCCGTCGCTCCTTTCACGAGATTCAACGCGTTTCCCAACCATTAAACCTCCGCCCAACAGGCCGGTGTCCGGCAGACACCTGCGTTTAAACGTGTTAAGTGCTGCGAAAGCAAACCTCTGAGCTGTAAAGAGAAGCGGTGGCATAAAAAGCCCCCGTCCCCGACCGCCTGATGGGGCCTAGAGTGCTGTTTTTACGACCCGGTCCCTTCAGCCGATGGCGGACGGTTTGTGCCCCAGTCTGTTGAGCCATACAGGAAGTCTTCCTGCCTTTATGACTTCCTGCTCGGCGCGGGCCGCCGGATGTGGGACATGGACGCAGCTTTTGTTCCCACAGCTGAGGCGGGAACGTTTCTGTCAGCGCCGCTCAATGGCTTCCTTCCCGTCGCTAGAACCGGGTCAAAGACAGAGCGGAGGTTTTAAGGTCCTTGCTACATGAATGAGAAAACGAGCCCTAAAGTTACAGTGTGGTGGTTAGCACCATGGCCTCACAGGGAGAAGGTTGTGGGTTCGAATCCCCGGGGGAACCGGGACCCTTCTGCCAGAGGGTTCTTGGTTCGAATCCCTGGGGGAACCAGGTCCCTTCGTCCAGAGGGTTCTGGGTTCAAGTCCCCAGGGGAACCAGGGCCAGAGGGTTCTGGGTTCGAATCCCTGGGGGAACCAGGTCCCTTCGTCCAGAGGGTTCTGGTTTCGAATCCCTGGGGGAACCAGGTCCCTTCGTCCAGAGGGTTCTGGGTTCAAGTCCCCAGGGGAACCAGGACCAGAGGGTTCTGGGTTCAAGTCCCCAGGGGAACCAGGACCAGAGGGTTCAGGGTTCAAGTTCCTGGGGGAACCGGGACCTTTCTGTCAGAGGGTTCTTGGTTAGAATCCCCGGGGGAACCGGGGCCTTTCTAGGTGGAGTTTGCATGTTCTCCTGTGTCTGTGGGTTCTCTCCGGGTTCTCCGGCTTCCTCCCACCATCCAAAAACCTGCATGTTAGTTTGGTTGGACTCCAAACTGCCCTTACTGTGAGTGTGTGGGGTTGTTGGTCCTTGCGTGTCTCTGTGTGTCCCTGTGATGGACAGGGGACCGTCTAGGGTGAACCCACCTCTCGCCCATTGTCCACTGGGATAGGCTCAAGTCCCAACCGCGACCCCATTGGGGAATAAACCGTTACGAAAACGGATGGATGAGATTTCAGTCTCTCTCGGTGCCCCCCCCCACAGGCCCAGTCCAGTCCGGGCCCTGCTCTGACCGTCTGGGGCCCGTCCGCACGGAGTCATCCAACGCCACGGCTTTCCGACGCGTTTCCAGCTCCCTTTTCCTTCCTCGCCGCCCCCACTTTCACACAGCCAAACAAAAAAGCCTCTCTCTCTCCCCGTCCCCTCCCCTCCTTTTCCCTCCTCCGCACCGACAGCCCGACGCTCGCCCTCCGTCTCTTCCCCGGGCCCTCGTGGGAGAAGGCTCTCTGTGATCGGGGGGCTTGTTTGTCGGCGTTACGGGAGGCATTACCGTCGCCTCGCTGCTGGGTGGCTGGACCGAAAAGAAGGGAGATCAAAACCGTTATTAAAAAGACACAAAAAAGTGCCACATGGAGTGTGCGAGGGGGAAAATGAGAAGGGGAGATAGAAGAAGGCGGAGGGACGGGGGGTGGAGACTGGGAGGCCTCTGTGCTTTATTTTTCCTTGAAAGCTCCCTAAAAAACCGCAGACACATGCTACAGAATTCCCCTCACAGTAGGGGGGGGCGAGGGGGGTGGTGGAGGGCCAGTCTTTGCAAGAAAACACCACAGTTTGTGATCCACACACACAGGAGGAGTGTCACAGGCGGAGTGTGTGTGTTTGTGTGTGTGTGGGGCGGGGATTGTGTGGACCTGGCACACAAACACAAAGAGAGGAACTTTTGAAGGAGCCGGCCGGGGGTGACGCCCCGACATGTCTGCACGGAGAGAGCTCACACCGCATCACCTTAACGCCCCTCAGCCCGTATGGGAACGCGGACGGCCCCGCTTTCCACGGGTATTGGAGAAGCGGTAGCCGTGGGGGTGTTAATCCAGCCTACAATGTGACTGCTGGACCCCAGCCCCCCCCCGCTTCGGGTTTGAGAATCGAATGGAGTGTTGAACCCGGGTGTGAGCAGAGTGGGAGGAATGTGGACAGGTGAGGGGTTCTGTGGGGGGGAACCCTCTATACACCCAGCTAGCTAATTAGCATCTCCTTCTGTGAAAAACATTTTCATTCTAAACTTCACAGTTCCCCCCCCCTTTTTTTTTCTTTTTTCTTGGCTGTTATGAAGGAGTCCAGCAGGAAAAAGCTGTGAGAGAAGTTCAACGTGCAGCACTTTAAACTAACTTGACACAAAAAAAAATAAGTCAGAAAATAGAAGAGTGCTGCCATCTAGTGGGGTGAATGTGTAGTTCAGGGCAGCGGGGGCACAGTCGGCCTGCTCAGTGTCCACCAGCCAGATACACAAACCTGGCAACCTGAACCAGATCTATGATTATTAATAATAGATCTGACTGCTTGCAAAATAGATAAAACACTGATTTATTTGCTCTTCTCTGTGACGTGCTGCATTCCCAGGAACGCCTTGGACCAAAGGAGGCAAAGAGTTTTTTTTCCGTGTCAGACTCAAACCCCGTTTCAGAGGAGATGGAAAATGTGTGTCAGCGCTGTCTGCATGGGAACGAGGACACAAGAAATGGGAATTCAGTCTCGGTCTGTTGCCGAGCCAAAAGCCTGCAGGATGACCTTGCTTAGTCGTTCCTTGTCACACTGAAATAATTCAATGCAAATCATTTGCTAAATGAGGCAGGCGTCGCCCCCCAGACCTCCCCCCAGTTTGCTCTCATTACTGCCTCTAATTTCCTACAGCAGCAGAGGAGGGCTGAGGTCACAGCTCCGGGGTGTTGTTTTGTAAAAATGCTGAATTATCTGACGGGATCTACGGCTAACGGAGATCTCAGATCATCACCAACATCGCAGTGATCTGCTGTGAGACAACTCAAAGGCCAAACAGCCTCATTCTACAGCTCACGTTTCATCAGTGCTAATTTTTATGATATTAAAACCTTCGAGATATTCAGTAACAGTCTCAGCTCAGTTTTCCTGCATCAAATTAGATGTGACATATTAGAAATATCTTCATTTAAGTCCTTTGGCTCATTAAGATTTAAAAAAAAAAATCTTATTTATATACCAGAAGGAAAAATAAAACCACAGGATGTACAAGCATAAAGAGTGAAATTCGACATTTATGATTTACAGCACATCTGGATCCACAGACAAATGCAGCTGTCAGAACAATATGATAAGAAAAGTTTGGGAAATTCGCCTCCTTGCTAAAGGAAGGAATTGTGATCAGTGACACTCGGCTCACATTTTAACACGCAAAATATCTCATTCGCACAAAAGCTTAAAGTGGAACTCCTTTTCGGACCCTCCATGCTCAGAACCAGCTCCCAGAAGGGCTCTGACATAACGGACCATCCCAGTGAGTCCAACGTCAGCTAAAAAAATAATTAATCTAACCCTAAAATATTTCTCTAGTTCCAAACAAACACGTCTAATTCGACCGTTTTGTTTGACAAATAAAAACAACACAGGTGCTTTTGCAGCTTTTATTGGAGCGGCTCCAGCTCTGGGACCCTGACGGGCTTCTATCGCTCCCCCGGACGGGAGCCCCCTGTTGAGCTGAACGAGAGGTCTCCTGTAGATATTCGGAGGTAATCCAGTTCGGACAAGTCCGTCCCTTCTGCCTGACGTCCTGTGAAAGACAATGAAACCTCGGACTGATTGAAACCTCCACTTCCCTTTCGATCGACATAAAAATCTGGGGTCATCTCGTCATCGTCTCCTTCAGCTCTTTTCAAATCCTCCTTCTGGTCTGAATGATCTCCGGGACTCGTGGTTACGTTACTTCCTTCCTCCGGATCCAAGGTCCACTCTCCTGTTGGTGTTGTTGCGTTTGGAGTCCGGACCTCATCATTCGGGGGTGCTGACCTCTGGTTGGCGGCCTGGACGCTGATGAACGAGGCACTTCCCAGGATGTCGGCGTAGGTGATGGCTCTGAGCCTCTCCGAGCGCGTGGGCAGCCGGACTATGGGGGGGCTGTGGGCCCCGGGGGGAGCGGGCCCTTTGGGCCTCTTCCCTCGGCCCAGTTTGGGCCGGACGCGCCGGCCCCTCACTGCGGTGCTGGTGGGGGTTTGGAGCAGGACCCTCCTCTCTGAAGCGGGTCTGCTCCTTTTCCTGTTGGCCCCCCTCACTCTGGGGGCCCCTTTGAGGCGCCCCGCAGACCTCAGGTGTGATACGGGCGCCAGGCCAGAGCCCATGGCCGGATTGGGTTCCTTACTGGCCGCAGTTCCGTTTGTAAAAGTCTGAAATCCCTGAGAAAAGTTGGCCTCGTTCGGGCCCACTGCGGCGTCGCTACCGTTTGATCGTCCTGACAGTTTGGCGGTCCCGTTGTACCGTCTGTGAATCCTGATGCGATTCCGCCGCCAGCTTTTCAAGCCCTGGAGCTTATAACCCTCCAAACCCCGTCTGGGTTGTTTCGCAGTTGCATCTGGTGGGTGAGTTAAGGCTTTGGCTCCCTCCAGTGGGCGAGTGCCAGATCCTTCCACATCAAACGCGCCCCCGTGGAGCCCGGCTCTAGTCCGGGTGGTGTTCCTGCCCCCCGGTGCTTCGCTTTCAGGCAGTAAACGCCGGATGAGCTTAAAGCCCGTCGTGGACAGCGTGGGAGTGGAAACGGTCGGCGCCACTACCTCCACGTTTGCAGGAGTTGGTGAAGAGCTGTTTATATTCCCAACTCCTGCCGGGGCTCGAGTGGTAGTGGTGGAGGCTCGTCTCTGGCCGAAGCTGTACTTTCGTGACACATATTGGTTCGCGTTTGCGCTTTTGAACACTTTTGAGTGGGCTTCTGAGAAGTGGGGCTCTTTATTGAGGGTGGACTGTTGAGAGTTTGCTGTTTCTGGGAGATAAAGGACTGGAGGCTCCTTCAAGGGTTGCAACAGAGGATTTACAAACCCTCTGAGGCGATAGCCGCCCTTCATGAAGCGCCCTGGTTGATAGTCACGTGTGAGTTCTCTTGTGGCATTGACCTGGTCCAGTGGAGCAATTTTCCCCCTGATGGGTTCCCGGCCATCCTGGGTTAGTCCACGAGGAGAAGGGGTCAAACTTTTCCAATGCCGACTGTGCCCTGGAGGAGGACGCAGAGAAGGAGACCGCGCAGAGCCGTAAAAGCTGGGTTTGGTGCTGGACTGAAGTTGGGTATAACTTAGTTTTGGAGCAACGACCTGAGCCATGGTATCCGGATTGTTTGGACCCATTTTGTTGAAAATTTTAAAAGTAGAACTAATTTTGCCGTGGCCTTGGGCTCCAGATGGGACTTGCCAATGTGCGGAAACGTTGCCTGGCCGACTGATAGACTCTCGGCCGTCATTCGTCGAGGCTCTGGGCTGAACGGGGGCGTCTTTAAAGAGGTACGACCGCACTTTCTGCGTCCCTCCGCTGCTTGCAGGGTTCGGCCTCTGGGGGAAACCAGTGACGGATGAGGCCGGCCTTTCTCGGCCCGGGTCCCGTCGGATCGGACTGCCGCTCAGGCTGTTGCCGGGCGGTGCTTCCCGAGGGCCCGGTCGCCCCGTGAAGCCGGCCGCTCTGCTGGTCTGAGCCCCACTGGACGGCGCTGGTGTGTCGACCACAGGGAGTTCATTCGCCTCCCCAAAGCCCCTGAGACGCTCCAAAGGCGGAGCGCTCCAATGTCTGCTGGTCTGGGGTGAAAGATTATAGGAATACAAGGATTTCCCCAGAGATTTACCATCGTCCACCTTTGAAGACCCTCTTGCCTTCACGTCTTCTGTGTTGATTGAATTTCTACTGACAGCAAAATAAGAAATTTGAGAGGTTCCCGGGTTTCCTGCTTTCTCAGGAAGAGTTTGGTCATTATTTCTGGCCTGCCATCTCTGGAGGCTTTGCCCCCCAGGAATAGAGGGACCTGTGGAAGGACTGCTTGCTGGTCTCTCTCCTCCTCTTTGCAGTTTGGTTATCTTCACTCGAGGGTACCTGTTGCTTCTGTTGCTTAGACTAAAGCCCCCTTCTATGTGCTGCGCAGGTTGTGACTGATAGTTAGGGATTGACAGGGTCCCAGGACCACCATCTGTGGACGGCAGACCCCGTGAGAGGGGGGGGTGTTGGCTGTGAGGAGTTTGGAGTCGTCTCACAACACCGGCTGTGAGGAGGGAAGAAAAGAGGGAAAATATATTTAAAACAAGTATTCAGCTGCTGTTTTGATTTAAAAGCCGTGACCAGGTTCATGTTCTGATATTTCCTCTTTACATTTCATCCCAAATTAACATATTAGGGATAAACAAAAAAGGGGTTTTAACAGCGAGTGTCAACATGATTGAACTAATCAGATCAATAACTTGGCAAAGAATTTTATAAAAAATAAATAAAACAAGTCAACAACAATAATATTTTGAGAAATGTGTTAATTTTTTGCATTTTAACATTTTCACTCACAAATTGAATGCCAAGATCATCAAAACTTGTTTTAAAGGAAGAAAATGGGATGATAATCTAGTTTTGGTATAATTTTTTCTCTTTATTTGTAGTGTGCACCCAAGAATTAAAAAGGTAAAAGCTAAACATTTGAGTAAAATTTGGACCTTTACTCATTCCATACCTTCTACCAGATAAGTGACACAGACTCAACACGCATTTCACTTTGTTGCAGTGAGGTTAGGTTGACCAAATTGATATGTGAACACAGAATAATGACTTGATGCTGAAAGGAAACCACAAAACTGGGCAGAAATATGATTTTAAGATTAGACCTGCAACAGACGGAAACATTTGGAGCAAACATACATGGGTTTTCTAAACTGTGGACGACATCTTCACATGAAACACACACAACCATCCCCACAGCAGTACAGGGGTCAGTTCTCAGTTTCCACATCCGTTTCAGCACACATTTGAATACAACTCATAAAATCACTGCTCTGTTAGCTCTCTCATATCATTGTGTGTTGTTATATTAAACACCAGCTCATACAATAAAAAAAAAGCTAAATTTAAGTCAGGCTGGCTCACTTAAGTAGATCTCCATCAAATATAAATCGAAACTAAAACATGCTTATTCTACATTATCGAACTGGTCACAAGCAACCTCGCAGAAATAAACATTCTCCGGCTGAACAACAGGCCCTGTCACACAGACAGGCGTCATATTGAGCATTAGCCCTGCACAGGCTGCAGTGTTGCTCACCTCCCACAGCATGTGAACACACCATGAACGACAGCACAGCTGCACAGATCAGCACAAAGAATCTGCAGAGAGAAAAACACACTGAGGGGATACCCTTCAAACACCCAACAATCCAAGTTATGGGACTGCAGCTGTTTTCACGTTTTAAGGAGACGTGTTAAAAAAACAAAACATGTTCACCTCGAACGGAGCTCCCGGGGGCCTAACATGATTCCCAGTTTCCATCCAGGTTCGAATGATCCCCAAAGGCAAAGCTGAGAATTGGTGGGGCTTGTTTTTCTGCCTGTGTGCTTGAAGTCCTGCAGCTCTGCTGCTGATTGGAGTCAATGCCGTTCACCTGGCAGCAGCTCGCCGCCCCCCCCGGAGAGGTTTAAATCCATTCAGTTCTGCTGCAGATCACTTTAAGCAGACTACAGTTGTCTGTTTCCTCCCACTTTATCTTTTATGATGTTTTTTTAATTTAATTCCATAATAATCCTAGCCATTTTCTACACACACATAGGTCAAAACTAACTTCATGTTGCATATCAATCTCATTTTCTTTGCTTTTAATCTGATTAGTCGTGATCATTATTTTTGTTCTTGTCTAAAGGTTTTGTCTTTTGGGATTTTATGATGTAAAGCACTTTGAATTGGTTGGTTTGCAAATGTTATGTTACTCCACAAACAAATTTGCCTTGCCAACCATCACATCTTTAACACACTGCCACAAAAGAAACAAACATTTGTAGACAAAAAGTTGTTTATTTTCCTTAAATACAATAAAATTAGCACATTTATAAAAAATAGTATCAAATACAACCACTTGTGCATAATTTATTTTAAAGTTAGAATCTTTGGTAATCATATTTTTTTAAGTGCAACACAGATATAGCTTATCATTCAAGTAGAAAACAAACAAAAAAAACACAAAAAATAATTTAAAGCCAACAAGTCCACGTCCACCGAGCCTTTTAAATAAAAACAGTGTCACATTATCCAGGGTTTCCGGGGTGGTGCGTTCTGCTCAGAACATGTAGCAGGACATCATGGCCATACTCCTCAGCTCCTCATTGGTCATGCATGCTGTTGAAAGAAAAAACAAAGACATTAGAGAAGATGGAAAAGAACACTGGTAGCTTTCAGTCATCGAAAGTATTTTATAAAATGTAAACATTTATTCTGCTAGACCTCTCCAAGAAGACAAACATCCCTTTGCTTTTTATTTTTAAACGTTTTTCCTGCTTAATTAGAGCAAAATATGACCTCATAAGTCAATACCTAAGCATCAGCTATTAGCAGAAAGATTTTTTTAAAGTATTTATATTGGAGTAGGTCCTCATCTGAGGCCCAAACAATTACATCATCTTATAAACTCGTTTTACTTTCTAAAACAACAGTCATATTGGGGTCTAATCCGGTCTGCATTTGGCACTTGTGGCTCCGACAAATGGGGCCTGAAGTGTTCCCATCCTGGGTCTGACTTGGGTTCTGTGAGACAGATGTGACCCAGATGGGGCAGGTGCCGTTTACATGAGCATTGTCAAAAGCTCCATCTTAAAGGTCCTCAGAAAAAGACAGATTTGAGCCACGTTTGGTGGACATGGAGCTGAGTTTGAGTCATAAGAGGTCATTTAGGGCCAAAAGCAGATTCAACTAGATTTGAGTCATGAATCCACATGATCTAACACACAAATATGAATGTCTCAGATACCAAACTCTCCTTTGACTTGTAAAGCTAGAAATTAGATTAAGGTAAACCAGTTTTTAAAATCTATATAAATCCAGTTAATTGTGAGCTTACCATCTCTTCCCTGCCATGCGCTCTTCCCACTGATCTTGCTCCAAACTTTCCTCCAGCTCCGCCGGAGCCTTCCGCCTCCCGGGGCCGGGGAGGAGTCGCCCTCCTCGGCTTGAGTCTCAGCGACGTCACGGCCCCCTTCACCGGTCGGAACTCGGTCCTCCGGATCCTCCTCCTCGGGATCCTCCTCCTCCTCCTCCTCCTCCTCCTCTCGGTCCAGAAGCCCTTCGGCCATCAGCCTCTCCAGGGCGACCTCGTCCACCCTCAGCTGGGCCCTCAGGTCCTCCTCTCCGGACAGGGGGGTGGGCTGGCGGCACAGGGGGCAGTCGATCCGGCCGTGCGCCCCGGGGCGCGCCATGGCGCGCAGGCAGCTCTCGCAGAAGCTGTGCCGGCAGCGGAGCTCCCTTGGGCAGCGGCGCCCCGCGTTGTAGCTCCTGTAGCAGATCCCGCACTCCGTTTCCGCGCACATCCCCGCCGCTGATATGCCGTGTGTGACGCCGTGGCGTGCGGAGCCGAGCTTTTGTAGGGCTGCGCCTCGCCGGGGGAAAGAGAGAGAGTGAGAGAGAGAGAGAGAGGAGGGGCTCTGGGACCAGTGCCAGGGACACAGACAGGAGCTAAAAAGCGCGCGGTGAGTCACTCATCCATCCCGGTGACGCAACGCAATGCGAGAGGCCGTGACGTGAAACAACAACAACACACACACACACACCCACACCCAGTCTCGAGCTTAAACATCAAACACAGTTTCATTACACGCACTCTCACTCAAGAGGTCAGTGGCCCAGGGACCCAGAGTGGGTGGATCAACATCCCGTTCCCTCTATTGCCACAAAATGTTGATTCCGAACTATCAGGATCATACAGATTAAAGTGAAATCATGTTGTCATGGTTTCAACACTCTGTAAAAGTCCCGAGCCACCTTTTTATTTCTCTACATTTAACTTTTAAGGAGCCAGAATGTCTTGGTAAGTCCTCTCAAATTCCTTCTTTGGACATCAGCTGCCTCCAGTGTCTGGTCAAGTTACTCACCGCTGACCGGTGAGTAACTTGACTCATGAACAAGCGCCATCACTGGAGGGATGAATCAGTGTTGTGTCTACGCAAGAGACGCCTTTGGGTTGTGTCCGTGGACACAGAGTGGGCTCAGAGTGGGCTCAGGGTGAGTACAGAGTGGGCACAGAGTGGGAAAGCTGGACAAGTGGTGGCAGGCTTACGATAAACTCTCTACAGCAGATGGACGGGATCTGAAAGTGACATCCAGCCAAGACCCTGACCATCTGAAACAGGGGGGAGAAAAAGGCCGAATGAGTCCTCCCCAGAGCCCGGTCCTCAGGGCTACTGAAGCATCGACAGAGAACTGACCAGAAACCAGCCAAAACAGCCAAAGGAGAGCTTTGGGACGTCTGTGAACCCTTCTCACTTTTCCTGTGTGACGGGCGGAGGCGTTTCTGTGGGTGAGAGTGATTCGGGCCCTCCCCCTCTCCTCCCCTCCGTCCGGCCTCCGTCAGCCCGTCCCGCCCCAGACCTCCTTTCATGGTCGTTTCCGTCGGATCCCGGCCCACAGCGGAGAGCTGCCCGTGTTTGTTCAGCTCAGTGTGCGAGTGTGTGTGAAGGCTGAACGCTCCTTTGTTAGTTTCTCTTTTTTTTACGGCCTTCCTGCTTTGAACTTTCCAGTAAGCAGGTCTGATCAGGTGAAACACAGACTGTGTGACAGTAAGACCTTTGCTAAAAGGGAGGCTGACTTCAAAGGCAATTGTAAAAAACTTTTTTTTAGCTCTTTATTTTTTTATTTGAGCTATTTTAGAGGCCTAGAATATAGATAAACCTACATTTTAGATGTTTTCCCCCCACTTTTTAAAACGTTTTCCCTCTCAAATGTTCACAACTTGAGGGTATTCCTCTTTTAATCTTCCCTTTCCAGGCAGAGACATGCTGTCCATAAGTTTTTTTTTACAGGCTTTTGTTCTATTCTCACAGTGTTTTGACATGACAAAGGACCCACTGATTTCTGATCAGGCACGAGGGAATTTCCTTCCCAAGAGTTTCTCATACACAGTCTCTATTACAGGAAAAACTCGTTTCAAAGGTCAAGTGAGGCTAATAAACTGGTGGTAAAATGGTTTCAAATGAAGGACCGCATTTTATGGATTTTGAATTTCTTTAAAGGACAAACTAACAATTAGGAATGACACCAGCCTACACACATTCACATGGAGGATAATCGGTTTATGATTATCTTTTAGCTGATCGTTATCCAGGTTTATTTAAAAGATTTATTCAGGCCTCGGCCGTAAAAGAATGAGATGTTCTGAACCCCTCTCACCCCACTTGATATTTAGATTATTCTAAAAGAGCCAAGACCACACGATGTGCTGCTGGACTGGACGGTTTGTCCTGAGTCTTCCATCTGTCAATAATTGCTGTAATTTCTCTTAAAAAGCAACATCTCCCTCCTTCTGGCCTAAAACACACACACATTAACGCTTCGGCCGGTGGCGACTCGCTGACTAAAAGCTGTCTCAGGCACCGGCCTGAGAGCTTAATGACGTTTCTTTATGGCCGGTCCATTAAATTCAGTGTTCAGGAGGGAAATCACCCAGCCTGCTTTCGTATTGTTTGTGAGGGCAAAATCCAGCCAGCAGTTAGAGGGCCGGAGCGTGGCGGGGCGTGGCCGAAAACCCTGAGAGTTTGTCAGGACTGGCATTGGATTATTGTTTTGGTAGCTTGGCAACAGCTGAGCTGATGACATCACAGGGCGTGGGCGGAGTAACACAGGTGGAACCTCTCTAAGAAAGGTAGCAGGGAGAAAAAAACCTAACGGGTCGAAACCCAACGTGTGGAGATGCTGTTTCTTGTAATGATGAAGCTCGTCCATTTTATTTGCCCGTCATCTGACACTTCCCTGGGAAGATCGAGGAAAAGAATGTTTCAGATTTCCTCGTTCTTTCTCTCCTTTTTGGTCCTGCTCTGGGTCCTCGCCGTCTCATCTTCTGTTCACAGTGACTCAGAGTCTCCTCCAGGCATGGCCTCGGCTTTGCAGAGCTCCAGAAAGTTGGTGTCACCATGGTTACACCCTTTAAAACAATTACATGTTTTCGCAGAAGTATTACAAATACTTCTAAAAGATCCAAAGAAGATAGATGGAGAACCAGGCTTTCATACCTCCATATTTGTAATACTGGTACTCTTTGGGCAGATGCTGTCAATTCCACCTAAATCCCTTAAAGAACTGGTCAGCACTCATTCAGTTTAATCAGCTTAAACTTTTCTATATTGATATTTTGTTTACTGTCCAGGGTGTACCCTGCCTCTCGCCCGTTGACCACTGGGATAGGCTCCAGTTCCCCCCGCGACCCCATGAGGGAATAAGTGGTATTGATAATGGATGGATGGATGGATATTTTGTTTATTCATCCTTGGTTGTTTATTCCTGATAGTTTGGTCAGAGAGTAATCCAATGGATTACTCTGTTTGTCCTGTTTGTCCTGTAGGTGTGCAGCATGGACAAACAGAGTAATCCAAAGACATCCACAGAAAAAAATGCTAATCCAAATTCAAAGCTGAGCCAGAAAACAACAACTATTTACACCAAATAATGATTTGACTCTTAGAACAAGGTCTGATAACTGTAACTTCCAGCTATCGTTTTCTGTGAGCCAGTATCAGGCCCTCCCATCCTGGTGGGTGGATTTTGGTCCAGCAGCTCTGGTTTCTGCACGGCTCTGTAGGCCTCGCAGCCACTCTGGGCTTTGGGCTTTGACTGGAGCTCCCTGAATCTTTTCTTTTCCAGACGCCGTGCGCATTTCTACCCGAGCCTCCTGACTTCACTTCAACCTCAGATGCGGAGGATCTGACTCTCGATGGCCGTTTCCGACCACATCACGCTGACTGGGAGAAAGTCTAATAACATAACACGCAAACCCGAGAGGTGCAAGTCACAGGATAAAGACTACAATCTGTCATTGTCTGTCCTGTGTGTCCTGGTTACCGTCACATTACCAAGGGTTTAATTACTGCCGAGCCAGCCGCGGAGACGCCTCACGGGGGACCAGACGGAGGGGAAGAGGACGGGCAGGATCAGGTGAGACGGAGGGGAAAACAGGAGGCTGGTGGTGGATCCGGGTTCAGACACGCAGCCCTGGAGCTCCAGGTGAGGCCGACGCTGAGCGGGGAGATCTGTGCCGACACGAGCCGAGAGGTGCGTGGGCGCTGAGGGGAAAGCACTGGGGGCGGAAAAAAAGGGGAAACAACGTGAAATTTGAAGAAATGGGTGTGGTGTGGAAAAGATGTTATCTGCTTTTGATGTCAGGACACCAGCCGGAGGGGGGGGGGGGGGTTTTTTGGGGCTCCCACCCACGGCAGCCTTCAGTCTTTTTTACGTCTTGGTTTGTGATTATAACGGGTGAAAAAAATCGTTTTTTTAGTTTCATTTTATGAGATGAAATGCCTCAGATCGCATGTTTCCATTGGCCGACGCAAAGGAGACCCCATCTGCTTAGCAACCGTCCCCCCATGAGTGGGTTGCCTTGTGGCTGTCCCATGTGAAACGGGGAAGAGAGCAAGAACAACAAGAAGTCAGGAAAGCAAAGCAAATGAAATAATCGAGGTCTATTTTAAAGTCTTTCTTACTTTCCTAAATTTGTAAATAAAGAATACTAATAGGAGGTGATGGCTACAAGTCAGCTTAGCTAGGTTTAACTTGGAGTAAAAACAGACCAAATCAGGTGGAAAGACGCTGCCGACAGAGAGACGGGCTGATGGGGCTGAACACAATCCAGAAGAACCTGTTTCCTAACCCTGGACGGTCCTGGAGGCCAAAAGGATGGCAGCTCTCTGGAATAAACACACTGCCACACAGTCAAGTAAAATCCATTAATCATAGCTGTTCCTGTAGATTTCTGAGCCTCTCTGTGAGACGTTACAGCACCCAAATTTTTGCTCCCTTAAAAAAAACAACGAAAGACCATGGACCCATTCTGACCGCTTTAATGTGTTTTTAACAAATAAAAACAGGACAGATTAGCTGTATCTGACTGCCTGAAAGCACCTCAGGATCTGGCCGGCTGATCTGGTTTTCAGATGGTAAACCGACCTAAATATGTCTAATATGAGTTGAAATGCAGTTGAACATCGTCCTTTTTCAGATGTTAGTAACAGGTTAGTCCCCTGAGGTTGTGGTAGATCCTGAACATGGCTCCAGAGTCTGGACATGTTTCTTTCAGGTTTGATCTTCTTCTTTGAGCAGAATGTTCCTGCATGTCAAAACATGCTACTTTTTTAAGAATAAAAACAGTTACACCTTCATTTCAGGCACATTTTTCATCACGAAAACGATTAATTCCACCAGGTCCCATCATGCAAATCAGTGGTATCATTTCTTAGAACCTTCTTAAAGGAACTGCGCGCCTATTTCTGATTCATTTGTTCGGGAAACCAACTTTGCCGGCGCTTCCACGGAAACGATTGCCAGCGTGGTTACGTAACGGCGGCTCAGTCTGCCGCTCTGGTGGAGATTCCCCAAACGGCCGGGCTAAACCACCAGGCGTGCTCAGGCACACAGATGGGAAAACTCTTATGGGGAAGTGCTTCTTCCTGTCATGGCCGTTTTTAGGTCCTGGTCTGAGCGTGTCTGTGTGTGTGCTCGCTCCTAGGGGTGAGATGGAGGTTTTATTATGACTCATGAGCTGTGGAATCTCCTCTCAAAGCCTCGGATAAACAAAGCGGCCTCCCTTGGGGTTCAGTCAGATCTTAGAAGCGGTTAAAGCCTCTTTGCTACTTTGAGTCTTGGCTCGAACTCCGTTTTTTCCTCCTTTTTTTGCAGATTTGGACGACTTCTGCTGGGGATCCGGAGGCTTCTCTCCCCAACATGGCGGAGGGCGTCGCCCCGGTCTCCGGGCCCGGGGCCCCCGTCGCCGGGGGCGACCGGGGGGGGCCCGAGGACGTGGAGTGTCCCGTCTGCTACCAGGAGTACAACCAGTACAACAAGTGCCCCCGGATGCTGGAGTGCCTCCACGTGTTCTGCACGGAGTGCCTCCAGAGGATCCAGCTCGCCCAGCACGACCCCTCGGACCCCCGCGGCCCGCCGGCCATCCCCTGCCCCCTCTGCCGCCACCTGACCCCGCTGGAGACCGGGGACCCCCTGGGCCTGCCCTGCAACTCGCTCATCCTGTCCCGTTTGCCCCACATGGCCCTCTGCCTGCCGGCCTCCGTGGCCTCCCGGCTGGCGGCGGCCTCCCAGAGGGTGGTGTTCTCCCTGGAGGGCGGCCAGAGGGACACCCGCCTCATCATCCTGCCCACGATCAGCCTGCGCGTGCAGCAGAGGCAGGTCGCCGCCGCGGCCCCGGGGATGCTGCTGGGGGGGGGGGGAGGATGGGGGGGGGGACGCCCAGCAGAGCAAGAGGACGCTGGTCTGCGTGAAGATGCTGGCCGTCGTCTTCTGGGTGCTGTTCGTCCTCACCTGCCTGTTCTGCGTCATGTTTCGGCCACATTTGAAATTCTGACGGACCTCTTACGTACAACTTTCGGGTTTTAAAAAGCCCCGACTCCCTCCGAGTGCACAGGCAAGGACACAAACATATAAGAATAAATGCAAAAAGGCTATTGAGCTGCACTAATGAAGGACTTTTGGAATATTGTGGTTGCTACTAATCTTGTAGCTAACTCTATTTTAGAGCAAAATACCCAAATTCAATCCATATCTGATGGTCTTAAAGCAGTGGATAATGGATGGAGAGTTCCCTCTAGTGGTTTGTAAGAAAATGGATGAACTACTTTCAGATTCTGTTAGATGGAGACATTTTTTAGCTCATCGTGTTCTTCTTTTCTGTCTGAGGTCTGTGTAGGTCAGCGTTTGCTCTTTCTCTTTCTGCCTGCTTGCCGATGTGTGGTGCTTGATAATCTTACTATCCAGCTGTTCTAGCAGTAAAATAAAGCTGGGTTCCACAGCAGAACACAATGTGACACAGTGTCAAGTTTGCACTCATAAAAGTGAAGTTTAGAAAAGTAAAGGAACATGTTTGTTTGTTTCACCTTTTCCTTTTCCCCTCATCCTGTATCACCATGTAAAATATAACTAAAATAATGATAATTTGATTTTAAAAATCTAATTGTAAGGCATGATTCTCTATAAAAGCTGTGGCTTCCTTATTCTTGGTACTCTCTATTGAAAGAAAAAAGGTGGGTTATAGTGTTTGGAAGGCACAATAAAGTCACCCAATTGTCCAAACTGGAGAATTGAATACCTATTGGTGGAAATTATTTTTTTAAATAACTTGAACTTTATTATATTGGTGATAATTAATAACGCAATAAACATTTTGAGTTCTCTTCTGTATCTGTAAATCCTGTTTTTTGTGAAAAGTAGAATCCATCATTTTCATTCAATGACATAAGATAATTTGGTGGAAGCACATCCTGCATAAAGCTCCGTAAGGCCACCAGAAGCTCACTCTCCCAAACTGACATCTGAATTTAGATCATGTCTTTATCATCGTGTTTGGTTGCAGCCTTCCTGGTTGTCTTTATATATCACAGTTCTAAGATATGAGGTTTTAATTTATTGGTGTACCACCATAGTCGGACTGGTTACGATTTCAGTGAAAAAATACACGATTCTTCTTAGTTCGTTTAAACCCCGATTCATTACTACATGCAGATAATCGATTCACCGCATTTACAATTTGATTTTCATCCCTTCTAAAATCGCATCTCATATTAAACGCAGATTGTTCTTGGGGTTATGTTCGACTTGGACCAGTTTAGGTTTTTTTGCATAAAAGGAGAGCAAATAAGTTTGGGATTTAAACCCTGTTTAAAGGTGGGAGGAATCTCCCCTTTTTTAAAAAAATAATTTTTTCTTTTTTTTTTATTGATTTTCATAACTTTATATAAACATCAACAAAATTAAACAAAGACAACCCACCCCAAAACAACACGGAGCACTGCAAAGTCCACATAAAAAAAAAAAAAACATACATACATGCATACAGCCCACATACACAAAATACAGCAGTCATGGGAATCTCCCCTTTTTTAATGACCTCTTAAAACACAGCCAGAAAAAAATAGATTTATTAAAATCATTAAATGATCTATGAAAGTCCATAGTCAGTTTCACAGATCCCACAAGTTTAAGGGATATATTTCCATCAATAATACAGTATCTCACATCTATGAACACGTCATCCTAAATTAAACTGTAATTACCATCTGTTGGTGGCTCCCAGGCTGGACACAATCTGGAGACGTCTGAGACCCTGATGGATAAATTCGGACCATCCTCCCCGTGTTGTTCTGGAGCCACAGGGAGAGCAGAGCTGTACTCATCTGAGTTTACAAATACTAACTAACTAACCCACCTTCATTATCAGAATACATCACTTTATATATTTCAAATGGACACTTCATTATTGTTAATAGATAGATAGATAGATAGATAGATAGATAGATAGATAGATAGATAGATAGATAGATAGATAGATAGATAGATAGAGATGT